TTACACATCAAATAAGAAAACTTGATTTTATGAGATTTTAATATGAAGTATATATTGACTTAATGCGCCATCATTTTTAGCCTAAATCGTATTTTGCACTAAAACCGATTTTTCATATTTTGATTTGGTGGGAATTTGATTTTCTAGTATTTTTATTTGAATCCAAATGGGGGGTACTTCCTTATTTACATTGTAAACTTAAGTAAATGGAGTAATATAAAAATAAATAAAAGTAAAAGGACAAAAACATTTACTTAAATGTTGAAAATGGAAATAAGGTATAGAGACAAAAAAGAAGAAGTAATTTTTTGGTATTTTTTTCAATTTTTTATTACAAAAATATTGGCTGTTGGTGTTAAAAGTGAAGAGTATTGGTTGGTATTTATAGAAAACAATTTCAGTATTTTTTTGGGTATTTTTTTCTTTTTTTTTATTGGGAACAATGGGGGTGACGTCATCATGACGTCAACTCAGCCCGCAGGCAAGCACTCGGGCCGAACCCCACCTCAGGCCAGCCCAAGCTGCTGGCCTCCACCTCTTGCCCGGGCTCTCCCCCCCCCCCCTTAATGGACCAAAAGTCAGCTTCTGTCATTTTTGTCTCTAGAGGGTTTTAATGCATACAAGTTACTAGCCAGTTATATTATTATTATATCACACAATTCATAAAATATGAAGAGACATAGAAATTGGTAATTTTTATCCACTATATTTGAGCCTTCAGGATTTTCATTCCTTGAAACCACTTCTCAATCAGATGAATGCTGCTGCAGCAACACAGCAAATGCTGGATCTATTTGACATTCTGGGAATTGTCCATTTTGGCATTGCTGGAAATGCCAACAATTCCTTGTCTATAGGTGATGTCACCATTCCTCAACAGTTTTCTCACACTGGCATTTGGGATTGGCTGGTAAAGTATATTCTGAATCCCTTTTCATCTTTTTATGTGCTTCTACCATTTTAGAGTCCAACGAATTGCAACAAAGTTCTTATTGACAGAACTCAAATCGATCTTTGAATTACGATGAAGCAAGCTTGGACTTTAAAAGATACATTAATGTACCAAGAGGAGATAACCTGTTGGGACACATTGGATTTAGATATGAACAATTTTTTTCTGAGTACGGGAAGGCCAACACTGCTCGGCCGCTGTTTTGGGCAAATACTACTCGGCAGTGGCTTCAGGTTGCTGCCAACTTGAAGGTCAGACATCCAGATCCCCTCATTTCCATGTCAATCTACGCCGGATTAAACTTAGAGAACAAGAAAAGCAAATGATTGATATCAAAGTCTTTGTCTTTTATGGTAAACTTTCCTGAAAACTAGTTGTAACTTGTGTCATATTATTTCAGGGGATCAAACTGAACCAATGTTTGAGTTCAAGTGTGTGTCTGCCACAGAAGCCGCAGTTAGTTGTTGGTCTTAGGGGCTCGACAGCCAATATTTTTGTGGACAATGCAGCTTACAGGGACTTCCTTTTTCAAAATTTTCGAGTTTCATCCGTGGACATGGAAAGTTCAGCTGTGGTAATGGTAAGCATTTCGTATACGTGTCCGATTCATTTTACAAAAAAAAAAAAAAAAAAAAAAACTCATTTTCACCTACAAAAGTAGCAAATAAGCTGTGGTGGTTTTGGCAGACAAGCTTGTCAAATGGCTTCCCGGTGATCGTCATTCGAGGGCTATCCGATCTTGCAGGAGGACAATCAGGACATAACTCAATTGACACCTTTGGGTCTCTTGCAGCTATGAACGCTTGCAAAGTAGTTGTACAATTTATCAAGCAACTGCATCTTGATACTAGGGAACCTGGCTTCCCAAGATGTATACAACCCTAAATCTGAAGGAAAAAGAAAATTGCATTTGGTGAGATGTAAGTACTTATAAGGAGAAAGAACCATCTTTTGTTATTGTAAATGCTTATAGCATAATACAAAAATAATCGATACATCAATCCTCTGTTTATTTTGTTTGGTAATAAAGAACCTTTGTCAAAGTGGTAAGAATGCGTTTGCTACTATAAACCATACAAAGCACGTATGCCATCAATCTCTATGCAGATCCCGTTTTATAATCCCATAATCGAAGTAGGGATACATGATTGATGCCGGGAGGTCAGGATTGTGATTAAGCCCCAGCAGATGGCCTATTTCGTGCACGGCGACAGATTCCAAGTCTACCTCATTTGGTCCTGGATTGCTACTCCATCTCTCATCTGCATCATAATGGAAATTCCCACCTCTAGGCGGATTAGCGTGCGCGAAAGTCCCTCTGGGGCCATCGAATGCGGAACCATCTCCATGGTTGCCCCTGTGAAATCCAATGGTAATATCAGCTGCTGTAGTAGCAGGGACTTTCTCAAATGTAAAACTGGTCACTTGTGCCCATCTCTGAAATGCTTGTGCACATATGGACCTTACATTCTGTGTGCCAGGGACTTGGTTCACACTTGAACTAAAGCGATACGTCAGATGGGTTTTGGACCATCATCGCGGTCCAGGGAAGAACTCATAATGAGCAACCCCCCATGGATAGACTTGTGCTTATGGTTGTGTTTCTTGCTGCCCTTTCGTGTGCCATTGGCAACATCCGGCACACCACATGTTGCATATTTGTGAGAGTGTAAAACTACACGGAGCCAAATTCAGGCTTGAAGTGACCTTGACCTTCCTTTACACCCATTATATGACATATTCTAATACATGCAAAATAAAATAAAATGATAGTATATAAAAAATTTCACAACTAAGCTAATGTTGAACTCCGTTTGACATGACAAAGCCGTTTGCAACTAAGTTATGTAATAAAAAATTGTCCCTGTGAGACATTAGAAGCATAAGCGCTTTATAAAACCAAACCAATCATATATGTAGCAGTGACCTATTGACAAACTTGAATTTATGGTGGTGGGTTTTGTTGCCAATCAAAAATTAATTCTTCAATAGCTGGTATACCACATCTAAAATTACAGCGCAAATCCAAATTTTGGATTCTCTCCCTCTTGTGTGAAGATCACGAATATTTCAACCAAAATAGACTGATCACAAAGCTCAAGCAATATTGTTGAAATGTGGCTACTTGCACTGTGATCAAGCATGCATCAAATGCCTCAAGCCTACGCAAATTATAATGATTTTGATATTCACACAGTGTATCAATCAAAACATATTCGAAGTCACCCTCATTAGCCAGTAAAAAGAGAACAAAGTTGGGCTTGGATCTTTTGCTCCAGCCGAAAGGAAACTTCTCATATATATACACACACTAGTTGAATTATATCAAGTCATTAAACTAATGTGGTGGGCCTAAGTCTAACCACTAAAAAAAAAAATTCTATTATAGCCGCGCGGCTAAACGATTTAATATAAAAAATAGGTGAAATGCGTGGTTCTTTTGACAACAAGGATGTGCCCCTGGTAATTATTATTTAATGAAAGAGGCTGGGGTCTGCGGATTCATCTTTTTCAATGTGCAAAGCTCCCGTCCCTCTAGATGCCTAGAACTGAGTATGCGATTTTGCCCATTTTCATGCTTTGTGTGGCATAATTTTGTACTCTGTGAGGTCCTAATTGTAGGGTCTGTAAAGGGGCTGGGATCGTTACTTGTTTATTGTATTTAAAAAGTATCATCCATTAATGAAAGTTTTAAATATCTTTACATTGAAAGATATAATGTTTCCAAGAAACCATATGGGAAATGAGATTGTTGCATTTTGTTTTTACTTTTTGAGATGGATACAGTTGCAGTTTACTGTTAAAAGCACCAGCGCCATTGGCCCTTGAAGAGAAGCATGCCTTGTTGAGTTTTGAGTTCTAAATCATTCATAACTTTCTCAAAAGGATTGAATTCTTGAGATCCGATTGATCAAACATTTCAAGTTCAGCCCGAAGGAAATATTTAAACTTAGTAAGCTTTGGTATGATCGACTCGTAAAGATTGCAACTAGTTTGGTGCCTTATCTTCTATATCTACGTATTTCTTTTTTTCAGCATGCACGCATCCTTGTTTAATTGGAATACCAAGATTAAACTCACGAAGATCATACACAAGTTTGGCGTCGCCCTGAATGAGCTCAGTTCGTGAGAGTGGTGGTCTTAGGTTCAAATTTCAGTGTCATCTCCAAGTTACCCTCAAACCATAGCGGTCGCATATTAGTATTACACTGTTGAACTGGTCAAAATGGTTTGCAGATGATTATCTGTGTCATTATCTCCATGACTTAATTTATAATCAAGTTTTTCCATGGTCTAATATGAACTGTATATTAATATCTCAAAGGCTTAATATTCACCGAACCCTGAAGTTTTATATACTTATACGCTGATATAATAATTATAACCGTGAATAGACAAGTAAATTTATTATTTTTCCGCAGAACATATTGTTGAAACCAGGACTATGTAACTTTATTGTATAGAATTAGCATACTTTTGTCATCCTTTCAAATTTTAATAATGAAAAGCCTGCCGTGCAGCCAAAGGTATGAAGAATTACATAAATGTCTTCTGTTGACGCTCGGTATATACTGAGCCCGTCTGCCCAAAAAAAATGGAACACGTGGACCTTGCTGGCTTAGCAAAAAGGCCCCTCCGGACCTCCTCTACCTCGGCCTCGGTACCACCCCACCCCCCCTCCCCCGTCCTGTCCAAGTCCATGCGTAAACCACCTAACCCACCACTCGACTAGATGGGACTCTGGCCGCTTGTGATTGGCTACTCTGCTCACGCCCGCCTTCTAGCAAGACGCGTAAAACCATAAAATGAGACGAGGACATGGTTGAATCCCTGACTATCCATCACCTGATAGGATGGCTTGGTGTGACATAAACGGCTCAGTTCCGAGCCGAGATGACCGGCTTAGAAATATCTTGTACAAATTCCCTATAAATAGGGTTTGCCATTTGTGTAAGAGAGGGAGAGAGAAAAAAAACTGGCAAGAATACAGGTTTTGCATCCGTCCTTGTCTTTGTCGTACGCCACATATTCAAGAGACCCAACTTTGTCTCCATCTTCAAGCAAAACAACGCTTGTACTTCATACGTTGACCATAGAAAGTCTGTGGATCAAACATCTTCAGTGGCCAGTAGTTCTCATCACCAGCTTCCTTGTTGTGCAGCAATTTCGTTTAGTTCATCGCAACCATGGCTGCAAAACGATTTGCAGCATGTTTTCTTAGGCTGGTTTTGATCTCCCTACTCGTTGCTTATTCATTTTCTTTACCACTAAACTGGAGATCTTTGAATTTAATCAAAAAAGTAAACCGCAAAGGACCATACATTGGCCTTATCACAGTGTTTCCACCAGAAGAGACTGCCTTTTTTCAGATTGGGGCGTTTAAGCCTAATCAAAAGCATCCTTCTGTGGATCTCTCAGGTTGGCACATTTATTTTCTGTGCTACTTTTCTGTTTATTTTTTCTCTTCTCCCTTACCATTTTGAAGAAGATTTTCGCATATTTTAGATCGGTTGATCTGAAAGGCATGGTGTTGCAGGGCGGCGATTCCTGGTGGGAAAGATCCATGACAAGAAAGTAGTCTATGTAAGATGTGGAGTTGGGATGGTGAGCCATGCTACTGCCCTTATGCACCAAAAGTCAGCTTCTGCCATTTTTGTCACTTGGGGTTTTAATGCATACAAGTTACTAACCAGTAATATTATATCACACAATTCATAAAATATGAAGAGACATAGAAATTGGTAATTTTTATCAACTATATTTGAGCGAGCCTTCAGGGTTTTCATTCCTCTAAACCACTTCTCAATCAGGTGAATGCTGCTGCAGCAACACAGCAAATGCTGGATCTATTTGATATTCTGGGAATTGTCCATTTTGGAATTGCTGGCAATGCCAACAGTTCCTTGTCTATTGGTGATGTTACCATTCCCCAACAGTTTGCTCACACTGGCATTTGGGATTGGCTGGTAAAGTATATTCTGAATCTCTTTTCATCTTGTTATGTGCTTCTACCATTTTATAGTCCAACTAATTGCAACAGAGTTCTTACTGAAAGAACCCAAATCGATCCTTGAATTACGATCAAGTCGCAAACTTGGACTTTAAAAGATACAATGTACCAAGAGGAGATAATCTGTTGGGACACATTGTATTTAGTTATGAACAATTTTTTGCTGAGTATGGGAAGGCCAACACTGCTCGGCCGCTGTTTTGGGCAAATACTACTCGGCAGTGGCTTCAGGTTGCTGCCAACATGAAGGTCAGACATGCCTCATTTCTATGTCAATCTACGCCGGAGTAAACTTAGAGAACAAGAAAAGCAAATGATTGATATCAAAGTCTTTCCTCTTTTATGGTAAACTTTCCTGAAAACTAGTTGTAACTTGTGTCATATTATTTCAGGGGATCAAACTGAACCAATGTTTGAATTCAAGTGTGTGTCTGCCACAGAAGCCGCAGTTAGTTGTTGGTCTTAGGGGCTCGACAGCCAATATTTTTGTGGACAATGCAGCTTACAGGGACTTCCTCTTTCAAACTTTTCAAGTTTCATCCGTGGACATGGAAAGTTCAGCTGTGGTAATGGTAAGCATTTCATATACGTGTATGATTTATTTTACCCAAAATAAAAATAAAAATAATAAAAATAAATAAAAAAATCACCTCATTTTCACCTACAAAAGTAGCTAATAAGCTGTGGTGGTTTTGGCAGACAAGCTTGTCAAATGGCTTCCCGGTAATTGTCATTCGAGGGCTATCTGATCTTGCAGGAGGACAAGCAGGACATAACTCAATTGACATCTTTGGGTCTCTTGCGGCTATAAACGCTTGCAAAGTTGTTGTACAATTTATCAAGCAACTGCATCTTGATACCAGGGAACCTGGCTTCCCAAGATCTATACACCCCTAAAGCTGAAGAAAAATATAATTGCATGTGGTGAGATGTAAGTACTTGTAAGGAGAAAGAACCATCTTTTGTTATTTCAAATGATTATAGCATAATACAAAAATAATGGGTACATCAATCCTCTGTTTATTTTGTTTGGTAATAGAGAACCTTTGTCAAAGTGGTAAGAATGCGTTTGCTACTATAAACCATACAAAACACGTATGCCATCAATGTCATCCCTATGCAGATCCCGTTTTATAATCCCATAATCGAAGTAGGGATACATGATTGCGTCCCGGAGGTCAGGATTGTGATCAAGCCCCAGCAGATGGCCTATTTCGTGCACAGCGACAGATTCCAAGTCTACCTCATTTGGTCCTGGATTGCTACTCCATCTCTCATCTGCATCATAATGGAAATTCCCACCACTAGGCGGATTAGCGTGTGCGAAAGTCCCTCTGGGGCCATCGAATGCGTTATGAGGTCCATCTCCATGGTTGCCCCTGTGAAATCCAATGGTAATATCAGCTGCTGAAGTAGCAGGGACTTCCTCAAATGTAAAACTGGTCACTTGTGCCCATCTCTGAAATGCTTGTGCACATATAGATCTTACATTCTGTGTGCCAGGGACTTGGTTCACACTTGATCTAAAGCGATATGTCAGATGGGTTTTGGACCATCTTAGCGGTCCGGGGAGGAAGAACTCATAATGAGCAACCTCATGGATAGACTTGTGCTTATGGTTGTGTTTCTTGCTGCCCTTTCGTGTGCCATTGACAACATCCGGCACGCCACATCTTGGCATCATCATCTGTTTCCCCGTGCTGGCGTCTAGAGTTCCAGTGACTTTTAAGTGATAGCTTTTCTGGTATGACTTGATGGCAGACTCTAGAATGTCATCAAACTCATCGTCGTTGGCATGCTTTGAATGATCATAATTCAGGTAGCCAAATTTGGTGAGGTATTTTTTGAGCTCTTGCAGCCCGCTCACATTTTGACCCTTGTGGCATCCCTCCAAGTGTTGGATGAACTTGAAGGGGTCATGCTGGTCATGAGTAGATTTGGAATGAGTGTTTTGAGATAGCAACACAAAGATGAGGAAAAAGGCTACACAAACTGAGATGGTTTTTGAGGCCATTGCAGGCATTTGGTAGCTAGCCAGAGAGATGAAAGAAGGCTTTGTTGTGTTGGTCCTGGCTCCCTTGCCTCTATTTATAGATGAAGATTGCAGCATGTGAACAAGTGTGTACCTTCCATATACTCGTTGTAGGACTTGGTCATTAATGGAGTCAATGGAGAAATATATAAATACAATGGCGGTCTTTTTGCTCTTGTCGTAGGCCATGATTGATTTGCTTATTAGCCGGGAAATCTATTTCCTAGCAAGTTATTGAGACTGTTTTGGCTCAATGTAGGCATCCTTCGTGTTTGACACTCTTGCCACAAGTGTAATTGCCTTCGTCGACGGGGCAAGGACAAAGTCGAAGTCCCTTGGCCTCACGGGGAAGAACCCGAATCTCAACATCAGTAGAAAAAATGGTCTCTGGCATTAACATGATAAAGCCATTTGCAACTAAGTTATGTAATAAAAAAATTGTCTCTGAGAGACACTAGAAGCATAAGCGCTTTATAAAACCAAACCAATCATATATATGTAGCAGTGACCTATTGACAAACTTGAATTTATGGTGGTGGGTTTTGTTGCCAATCAGAAGGATTAATTCTTCAATAATTGGTATACCACATCTAAAATTACAGAACAAATCCAAATTTTGAATTCTCTTCCTGTCTTGTGAAGGTATGATCACAAAGCTCAAGCAATATTGGTGAAATGTGCCTACTTGCATTGTGGGTAGAATATTTTCCAGGTTGTATTTCATTATCCAAAAGAAGGTATTTATAGTACAAGGATGTAACCCTAATATGGTCAAACTAGAAAACAAGATAAAAACTTAATTACACAATATCTTTACAAAAAGGAAAGAAATATAATCCTAATAAACTAGGAAATAAATATCCTAATTAATCTAGGATCTCGCTTACACTTCCCCTTAAGTTAGAGCAAAGATGTCACGCATGCCCAACTTACCAAGCGAGTTGAGAAAGACCATAGTAGACACAACTTTCGTAAGAACATTTGCCAGTTGATACTCGGATGATATAAACGGAAAAGAAATAATTTCAGCATCTAACTTCTCTTTAACAAAATGTCGATCAACCTCCACGTGCTTTGTACGATCATGTTGCACAGGGTTATGCGCAATTAAAATTGTAGCTTTATTATCACAATACAAATCCATGGGTTTCTGGGGTCCAAACTCAAGATTTCTCAACAATCTTCTCAACCATAGTAACTCACACACACCTTGAGCCATCCTATGGTACTCATCCTCGGCACTAGACCTAGACACCACATTTTGCTTTTTACTCCTCCAAGTAACAAGATTACCACCAACAAATATGAAATACCCAGACGTAGAACGTCTATCAGTGACTGAATCAGCCCAATCGGCATTCGTATACCCTTCCACATCTGTATGACCATACTTGCAAAACATTAACCTCTTTTCATGAGTTACTTTTAGATACCTCAAGATGTGCATCACAGCACCCATATGATCTTCACTAGGAGAATGCATAAACTGACTCACTACACTCACTGCATATGCAATATCAGGACGTGTGTGAGATAAATAAATCAATTTCCCCACAAGTTGTTGATAACGCTCTTTATCTGTAGGGACTTGATCAGGATACAACCCCAACTTATGATTATATTAATTAGGGGTATCAATTGGTTTACAATCTAACATTCAAGTCTTTGCAAGTAAATCCAAAATATATTTTCTTTGAAACAGAAAGATACCATGTTTAGATCTGGCAACTTCAATCTCAAGAAAGTACTTCAAATCACCCAATGACTTCATCTCAAATTCGGAAGCCATATACTTATGAAAATTTTGCATTTCTGCTTGATCATCTCCAATCGCAATCATATCAACATAAATAATTAAAGCTGTCAATTTACCTTTATAACGCTTTAGAAACAAAGTATGGTATGAGTTTCTCTGCACATACCCAAATTTCTTCATAGATGCTGCAAATCTCCCAAACCACGCTCTTGGAGACTACTCCAATCCATATAAAGACTTCCGCAGCTTACACACAACACCCTCCTTAGAGGTTACAGGAATACCAGGAGGGAGATCTATGTAAATCCCCTTCTTGAGGTCACCATGTAGAAATGCATTTTTGACATCGAATTGTAATAAGAGCCAATCGTGGTTAGCAGCCAGGGACAATAGTACACGCACAATATTGAGCTTTGCCACTGGAGCAAATGTCTCCAAATAATCCACTCAATAGGTCTGAGTATAACCCTTTGCTACCAATCTAGCCTTATAACGGTCAATGAAACCATCAACTTTATGCTTCAAAGTAAACACTCATCTGCATCCAACAACTTTATTCCCTCGTGGCAAAGGAACTAAATCCCATGTTTTATTCATGTTCAAGGCATCCATTTCAACATTCATGGAATCCATCCATTTGGGGTTAGATAAAGCATTTTGCAGCTTAATTGGCACACATACACTAGATAATTGACACAAATATGATGCATATGATTTAAACAAACGATGAGTTGACACATAATGGCTAATGGGATATTTAGACTTGGCATGTATATCAGGAGAATATTGTACTTCAGGTTTTCCGCGAGTGGTTTGTGGGGGGTAACTGATAAGTTGACACAGATAAATCATTAGAAATTACCTTACTTGATTCACTATCACGAGTAGATTGGGGCATTGGCAAGACAGAAGGGGGTATTGCATCGAACTCATCCATACAAGAATCATTGTTATTATTTTCAGATACAGGCGACTGGTTACTTGCTTCAGTGTGATCGCTCGTTTCGACATCGAGAGCACCTGCTTCATCTCTAGATATGGGTGACTGATCGAGTTCATTTCTTCACAGGGACCACAAGTTTCATCTTCAAATATGGGTGACCAGTCACTTACTTTAGTGCGACAGGTCGTTTCCTTTTCGAGAGCAACATCTTCAAACAAATCATTCTTCAATCCAAGACTCTCCAATTCACTCCCCCTCTCCCCCTGAATTGGAGAGGAGGGAGAGATATAATAAGGCACTTCTTTATGGAAAGTCACGTCCAAAGTAACATGCATCTTTTGGGTAGGTGGATGATAGCACTTATAACCTTTCTGAGTAGACGAGTAACCAATAAAGACACATCGTAGAGCACAAGGATCAAGTTTACTCCGTTGATGAAAGTAGACATGAATATAAGAAGCACACCTAAAAACTTTAGGGGGAAACTTGGAAACTGAGACAGGGGAAACATGATCACCAAACACATCATGTAGAGTCTTGAAATCAAGAACCCGACTAGGAGTACGATTAATCAAATAGGCAGTAGATAAAACAGCATGCCCCCAAAAATGATGGGAAACAGACATGTTCAACATAAGGGAGTGGGCAACTTCAAGTAACTGACGATTTTTGCGTTTAGACACACCATTCTGCTGAGGAGTAAATGAGGTTGTCGTTTGGTGAATAATACCGTGAGCACGGAAGAAAAATGCCAAAATGTTATTCACATATTCGCCTTCGTTATCAGTCTGGAATACTTTGACCTGAACATGAAACTGAGTATACACTATAGTATAGAACTCTAGAAGGATGCAAGCAACATCATGTTTATTTTCCAGCAAGAAAACCCAAGTGAGTCGGGTACAATCATAAATAAATGTGACAAACCAACGAAATCCTTTTGAAGTAACGCGAGCCGGACCCCACACATTAGAATGCACTAAATCAAAAGACTTTGCAACTTTATTGTCACTCAAAGAAAACACAGTGCGATGACTCTTGGCCAAAATACATGTCTCACACTTAAAACTGGACTCATCACAAGAGCGGAATAAAGATGGAAACAGACGCTTAAGGTAGCCAAATGAAGGGTGTCTCAAGCGACGATGCCATAACCAAATTTGTTGTTTGTATTTGACACTGCAACTTTAAATAGTATTAAAGACATGATCATGAACTGGTGCAGAAGGTAATGTCAAATAATATAACCTCCTATCCATTTATCATGCCCAATCGTCT